CAGTAAGTTTCCTCCTAAGTTGGCCGAGACTTTGCCCATCTTTCCATCTCTCACACACACTTTGTGACAATCACAAAGACGTATGGACACCTACTTTTCCCTGCGTCTTTTTGCATTATGTTAATACCATATCATTTAGTGCTTGTCAGGTGATCTCTCCTACTCTTTCCTAGTTGTTTCAACTTCCTACTTCCTGGATCTGACACCGTATCAGGCTCCTTTAGTATTTCCCATTGTGATTAATCCACTTGTGTGTGTATGTGTGTGCATGTGCAGACTCCGTAGCTGGACAGCTGGTCTCCAATTCTGGCTGCTGCTAACTAGCTTTGTGACTTTCAGCTACTTATTTTACCTCTCTGTGCCCAAGTTTTCTCTCAGTAATATGGGGATAGTAATAATATATACCTCACAGCGTGGCTGCGGATTAAATAATTTAACATATATAAAATGTTTTGAACAATGCCCGGCATATTTTAAATTATATATATATATGTGTACGTGTGTGTATATATATAGAAATATAAGTGCTAGTCGTCATCATCATTATCACTATTTTGTGCTTCATGTTAAGTCCCAAATAATTACCAACTGATGGGTCATTGGATAATTTTGAGGGTGTGACTGTGTCTTACTTATCTTTGCTTTGGCTACAGCCTTGACCTGGAGCCATATTCAGTTTCTAATATCAGAAGGAGCAAGTTGGGGGGTACAGAGGAGATTCTTGAAGTATCTCTTGATGGTAAGACAAACGCCCAAAAAGGTTCCGCCTTTGACTAGTCTCTCTACTTGTGCCATAATCTTGCTAGAACCTCTTTTCATCATAGTTTTACCAACTGTTGTGGCAACACATTACCTTAAAACGAGTGGGGAGAGTACTCAGGAACTCATTCCCCACTGTCTCTCTATCCCCAGAGCTCGGCACAAGGTAGTATAACGAGGGTGTGTCGCATTGAATTGTGGCATCCAAACTGGCTAGGTAATTCCAGAGGGGGTCATTTCTACATGTGCCTCAGCAACACAAGAGATCAGCCACTTTGTTAAAAACTAGAGCAGACCAGGTCCTCACACCCCCATCACCATTCTTTCCAGAAAGGTTTCCTGACTTATTTTATTGACTATCAATGACTATTTATCAGGTTTTACATCATTAGTGAGTCATCAGAGACTCTTAATTTGCAACTGTTAGGGAGCCACCCAGTAGAGTTAAAGAAAAAATGAAGGCAGAAATTCCATTTGGCCAAGGCTGCTAGACAATGCATTACATGGAAATACGTAGCTGACACTTCCGATTCATCTCTCATAAAACTGGAACAACAGGATTCAATTAAACTCCATAAGCGTGTAGTTAAGTAACCACTGTGGGGGGGGGGGGGCAGAAGTGCTGTGCCAGGCGCCTGGGGTATATAAAGATGAATAAGATGGGGACCCTGTCCTCAAGGCACTAACAGGTGGTGGAGGGGAGAGATGGGGCTCTGATCCAGTGGAAATGGAATCAGAAAGAGGTTCATCAAGAAGAGAGCATCATATAACCGATTCAATTTGTTGTACAGCAGAAACTAACACAACATCGTAAAGCAATTATACTCCAATAAAGATGTATAAAAAAAGGTCATTTCTAACAGCTATATGATGTAGCATCATATTGACACACAATACAAAATATTGTAATTTCAAAAAAAAGGCATAAAACAAAAAGAAGAGAGCATCTGAGATGGGTCTTGGAGGTTGAGCAGGATTTTTTTTTTTTTTTTATTATTCAGGCCTCTCACGGTTATGGCCTCTCCCGTTGCGGAGCACAGGCTCCAGACGCGCAGGCTCAGCGGCCATGGCTCACGGGCCCAGCCGCTCCGCGGCATGTGGGATCTTCCCGGACCGGGGCACGAACCCGTGTTCCCTGCATAGGCAGGCGGACTCTCAACCACTGCGCCACCAGGGAAGCCCTGAGCAGGATTTTGATAGGTGGAGACGGAAAAGGCAGCATCTGGCTCTCAGGAATCACAGTTCTAAGAGATGCTAGGAAGGGGCTGTGCGGGAGGCTGAAGGGGCATCACAGCAAGCCTCAGGGGCCCCTCCGGAATGCATGTCTGCATGGTGCATCACGCAGTGAGGGGCTCCTCAGGGGCCGGGGGTGGGGCAGTGGAAGAAGAGGGAGAAGAGAGTGTGAAGAAGAGCAAGACAGCGAGAGAAGCTCCTGAAAATTGCGAATGCCTACCCGAGGCTGTGGCCCTGGTGCATCTGCCTCCACTGCACACGGCGAGATAACCCTGCAGGAGCCGCGCAGGTACACCGCCAGGAGCTTCCGGACACAGGACAGAGGGCGGGCCCGGGACGGTGTCGTAAAAGTGTCGTAAAAGCTCAAAAAAGCAACAAATTGCTGCGTGCTTCGAAGGCAGTGATGGAGGATTTGAGCGTATTTCTTTGTGTTTTGATTTGGTGTCTCGAGCGTTTCATAGGTTGGTAAAAGCAAATTATGTTTTCTGAGGCCGTCAAACCAACGTCCTTATCTGCCTATCTCAGTCGTTCATCGCACGATGTTCGTCCTTTCACACATCTCCCCCCGAGGTGCGGCAGAATATAAGGCACACCACTGCATTTTAAATGTGGTGATGTGGAAAAACGTGGCAGCCCTATACTTCCCACTGCTCTTGGCAGCTGCCTGAGCAGCTCTGCAAGATGAGAGGAAAACAAGGCGGTTCTTTCTTTTGGCCTCTGGCACAAACTCACCTTCTCTGCCCTGGCTCCAAGGCTGTGTCTTGGTACGTGGAATTGTCCTTTGCAAAACAGTCCCCAGCAGTATATGTTTTAAATTGATAAAATGATGTCTGTATGAAGATGCTATTGCTTCTCATACAACTGTCCCTGTGTAGCTGAAAACAAAAAACTCTAGCCTATGACCTGTATTCTTTCTCCGCCATTGGTTTGTGGCTACAGTCACAACTTCCAGAGGGTTGACATTTTAAGCTCTTCTGCTTTGCTTCAGAGAATGCTGGATACCTTTGCTCGGAGGGAGCCCCACTGCCTCTCTGCTCAGTTGAGACAGTGCACGGGGTGCCTGTTGGTGCAGTCCTTCCTGGGTGGCGCCTTGGGTCTGAGAGTCTCAATCACATGAATTCTTCCAGCCTCCCCTCTGCCCTATCTCCCTGCCAGAGGTCTTGTCTCTGTGAGCCCTGATTCTTTACTCCATTTGGCATTTCTCCTTCCTCCAAATTAAACTCTTGGGCAACAGAATGTGTAGTAAGCCTTCACCTCCTAGACCATATCAGAAGAGGAAGGCAGGAAACTGGTAACAACCTCTGTCTCTTCCCTCTTCCCCAACCCATTGCCAGGGGTCTGTTTTAAGCTTGCCGGGTCACATCCCACTATTCTGAGCTTTGAGTGAAGCACAGAGCAGAGCCTTTGAATGCATGCTGATTCAGAAATTCCCCTACTTATTGGACTTTTCAGCAATGCAGTCAGAATGACAGCCTCTGAAAAGGAGCTTCTGGGAAATGCCCTTCTAAAGATGGTTTTGGTTGTATTTCTTTCTTTTTTTTTTTTTACATAGTAGCATTTATTTAGCCGCACAGGTTGTGGTTATGGATAAAGGAACTCAAGGATAGGTCAGTACTTTATATTATGAATAAGGCAGAAATGATAAAGCTACTTCCCAAAGTGAGATGTTAAAACTTAGGTTTTCCTGAGACATAAGAATAACAGAAGGGTCACTTTTGTCAGAAGTCTCCTCGGTCAAACTCCCTGAGCTCTCTAGTACTGATGCCAAAGTCCAAGGAAGACAAGCTTAGGCTCTCAACATTCAATCTATGTTAGCATCTCTAACACAGATTAGAGATGCTCCACTCAAGTTACATAGCTTCCCTTAATAACTCATATGTATCTTATGCATGACTTCATTGAATATATTTACGTTCACACAACTTCAATCTGAATTATTTCTCCAAACTTGCAACTCAATTTCAAGAATGCAGTCAGAAACCAGTGGATCCCGAAATAAAGATTTGTAGGGGAAAAGAAGAAGTTCAGATTTTTACATGTTGAATACAGTTTTAAACATGTTTTTTAAATCGTATTTAGTTTATAAAGTTTTCTACATCTCCAAACTGAGAGTCCCCTATTAAGGGGACTTGTATGGTAAGGTAACAAAAGTTTGGTATAAAAACAAACCCAGGAATTTTTAGTTTAAATTTTAAAAAAGAGCAGCCAGAGTCTGGCAATTAGTCATTCAACATTTGATATAATTGCCAGTACTCAGAAACAGATTAAGATCAGCACTGCATTTACTATGGCTAAGATGGTAACAGTGCAAAATAAGGTTTGGTTAAATTGCACTCAACAATCTAGGTCACAGAGCATAAAAGAAGAAAACCACGTCCTCAAGACATTTTATATCAAAGGAAGAATGAGGCTTGTTTAAATGAGTTGCAACTTTCCTTTCCTCAAAGATCTGTTCTCTAAAAAGGATGAGTCATGATTGCATTATTATAAGTACATATTTTGTTACTTCCATAAGACAAGGGAAGAACACAAGAATTAAATAACAATAGAGTTGGAAAGAACATTCATGTTAGACATTAAAATTTCAATTTAAAATCTTCCCCCACTTGAAAGTATTGTTCTAAGATGGTTGAAAATAAATGCTCTTACATTTTATTTTTATTTTGAATTAATCTTCTCTGTTTGTGGTCCTCAAAGAGCCACTCCACCTCCATTTGCTTTCTACCTGACAATAAATGACTAGTAAGATGAAATGACTTAGCAGTCTTTTAAAAGAGTTTCATGAGAGGGAAAGATTTAAAAATGTGTCACAATTGGGGGCTTTGCTCCTTCTAGGCAGGTACGACTACTACAGGTTCAAATGTAATTCTGATAATCTTTCTATCGTATGAGAAAAACCACGGCAAATTTTCAATTCTAGTGTACAATGCCAGGAAGAAAAAACCACTGTTGGGCAAAGAAAAGGACAGAGGTTGCCTGGCAGTTCTCCACCACGACTGGGTACTTACGGGGCAGTGAGGTAACCCTCCAAAAAGCCGGCTGCAAACATGACGATCTCATTGCTCAGGGATCGAGAGCCGTAGCCCGCTCTGATCTCAAGGATGCCCCAGCCTGTGGTGTTCACAGAGTTATTGTAAAAGCCATAGGCATCCCCATTCCTGTCCAGGACATCTCTGACTTGCATTCTCTTCTCGGTAGGCATCCAGTACGCAGTTGCATAGTACACCCCTGGAGAAAAAGAAAAAGGAATAATCATAGGATGTCATTGAACTGAACTGCTGATACATTATTTTTCTTTGTAACCAACAATTCCAGCACATTTGCTTTTAAAGAGTTCTGTTCTATTACAACAGAATTGGGAAATCTGCCACACTATAGTTTGTCCTTGTTACAAGTGGGAAAATACCAGAGCCTTGACCAAGGGGGATGAGCCTAGAGCGCAAAGAACCAGGTCAAAGGTAGGGGCATAGTTGGAGCATCAGAGAGGTGGGTCTAAGTGCTTCATCCTTAGAGATGGGATTTTGGGCAAGGCAGGAGCTGGAGCTCTCACCCACCTCGTCATTCAACCAAGAATAGGGTTCATATCCCTGGTCTGCAACCGTTTCCGTCCCCCTCAATAGTTGGGCCAAAGCATCCATATTCTCTCACTTTCTATCCTATCTCTCCTGCTTAATTCTTTTTTTTTTCCTTATCAAAAATATCTTATTTACAAAAAAATTCAATTATACTGTACATCCTACACTGGAAATACATTGAATAATTGCTAGAATAAATATAGGCAATTAATTCCATGTTTTATGAGAATGAGAGAATTTGACATTTGAATGTTATCAAAGCTTAACTTAGAACATAAATAGTCAAAAAGGCAAACTCAAGTTTTAGTCTCATTTAATGGCATGGTCTGTTTGTTTCTCACAAGCTCTCTAATCAGTGAGAGTCTAAGTTGTAGAACGTTATGTAAGTTTTTGTACTCTGAAGGTAGAATGTGCAGTTTTTTCTTAAGCAGGATGGATGGAATATAGGTGTCTGCATAAAAAGGAAGCACAAAGGCAAGAAACACATGGTTGAATACTTCTCCCCATTTATGCTTCCTCACAATACTTTTTATGCAACTCTTCATGCGTTCAATTGTTTTTAAACACAGGTCTACACAGCACCAGCTACAAGGTAAGATGGGTCATGTCAAAAGTCAAACTGGATAACTAAGACCCCAGAGTAGCTAAATTAACAAGGCTGAGGGTACCTGGTCCATCAATTTTTTATGTGCCAATTCTTTTTGCGGTACGCGGGCCCTCTCACTGTTGTGGCCTCTCCCTTTGCGGAGCACAGGCTCCGGACGCGCAGGCTCAGCGGCCATGGCTCACGGGCCCAGCTGCTCCGCGGCATGTGGGATCTTCCCGGACCGGGGCACGAACCCGTGTCCCCTGCATCGGCAGGCGGACTCTCAACCACTGTGCCACCGGGAAGCCCTGTGCCAATTCTTGATATAACTATTAAGCCTTGATATCATGTCTACTATGTAAACACATTTATGTAGGCCAGGAACTGAAGAGATGAAGCAATTATCTGTATAATTCAGAAAAAAATCTTCCCTAGCAACTTAAAGAGGACATGTGGAGCTTGATTCTGCCAATTTTGAATCTGTATGCCTTAGCCTTATTATAATTTATCCCACCCACCCGTATAAACCTCATACTAACATGTAAAGTGAACTGACAAGCTGGAAAAAAAAAAAAAGGTACGTAAAGTATGTTCAATATATAGACAGGATCCAGTGAATACAGGTCACAGAACAAAATGATGAACTGCTTTGTATTTGTCCAAATTGTACAGATAATTTTTCCCACTTTCCTTTTTACTTAGCCTGGGAAAACACTGTGAGAATCTCCAAAGACTATCTTTAATACCCAGATTTTGTCCACTGCTGGATGCCTAGTGTTTTCTTTTGAGAACTAGCATTCCCTTTTTTTTCAATCTTATGAAAAAATTGTACTTTTCTACCCCTTTGGCCTTGATTTTCAGTGACTTCTTTTTTGTACACATAAGTATGAATTTCTCCTCCCAAAGTGTGACAGGTATATTGGCCTTTTCTAAAGAAATGAAAAAAAGTTAAAATATTGAAAGTTTAAATACTTTTTCACAGAAACAAACTATTCAATTTTAAAGGGAGAGAGAGAGAGAAACATTTTATTCTTTCTATCATGAACAACATAAATCAACCAAGCTTCATATTTTGGGTAGAAATTTTTTAAGTATGAATTTTTTCAGAACCTATTTTATTTTTTTTTAAAAAAAAGGAAGAACAGGTGTATTTTGGCAGAGAAGTAAAATATAAAATATACAAAATTTGTTTTAAAATTGGCATACAAAATTTTAAAACACAGTACAATTATATAAAAATATAGCACAGACAACAGCCTGTAAAATTTCCTTCGGCCTTTCATTTGGTAGAGTTAAACAGAAAACCCTTTCTTAAAAAAAATTAGCATCAACACAGTCCATAAGTTAGGTTGTATATGTTGAAAGAACTTTTCCTTGAGCTTCCAAAATCCTCTTCTTCCATGGTTACCCACGTAAAGCATGACTAGTGAGGTATATAGGGCAAAACACTGTTAGGCGGGTGTACAATAAGGAAAAAGTGCATAAACAAAGAATTCTTCCCATTTTCATAGAAGTATCCGATTAAATGTGAATTCTTCTTCATGTATCATTTTACTTTGGCAGAATTAAAATAAACCCATACAAATGTCTTTGTTCAAGTCCCAGCAGCAGTGATGTGTCTCCTTTGGTGGCATTATCTGATGCCACAACCATACAGTCCCTAGAGGAAGTAAGGTTTTGTGTGTGTCTGCATCTGCAACTACAAACATCAAATGTAAGATCGTACATCAAGCACCATGTCATACTGTTGTCCCTTCTTCCGCCTGCCACAGTTTTTGATGAGAACCACATACAGTGTCAAAGACATGACCCAATAGCATGCATAGAGCAATGTTCCAACAATTAAAACTGTCTGTTTGGATTCTGAGAATGGCTTTTTAGATTCCTTATAAATGGTGAAAATCACACCACCCAGGAGGATTGTATACCAAACTGATACTGGAATGAGTCCTGTGAAATTAACAATGGCTTTCCTTTCCAGATGTGCCCCACCCAGCTTTGCTTATTGTTGCAACTGCGAACATCTTGGCGGGAAGTAAACTTGACATGTATAACACTGAGTAGAGGGACATGAAGACCATGATGATATTTCCTCTAAGGCGGCTGGCAGAAGATGATTTTATGAGACCCACTAACTGGACAGTTAACCACGAAAGGAGGATGTTCCAAATTTTACTCCTGTACAAGAGCTGGATTACTGTGGCAATGAGAAAGAAAGGGAAGAACCCAGTGATGACTGCTTCATAGGTCATCCGCAGGTGATGTTTATGAAACCACATTGCATTGTACAGCCACTCTCGGACGCAGGACTTGCTCCAACAGGTCTGCTGGTTTAACCATCCGAGATACCCCTTAGGTGTCTCAGTAAGGCACTTGGATCGAGCTGTGTATTTTCTTGCATAGCCCAGGCTCAGCACTCGGTTTGTTAGATGCCTGTCATCTCCAAAACTACAATGGCTGCCCATAATTTTTTTTTTTAATATTTATTTGTTTATTATTTATTTTTGGCTCACGCCGTGTCTTTAGTTGCGGCATGCGGGATCCTTAGTTGCAGCATACGTGTGGGATCTAGTTCCCCAACCAGAGACAGAACCCGGGCCCCCTGCATTGGGAGCACAGAGTCCTACCCATTGGACCACCAGGGAAGTCCCCTGACCATAAATTTTTGATTGTACCAGTCTTCCACAAATGCATGCAGTAAGGAGTTTCTGTACATTCCCAGAGGTCCACTGATGCACTGGACACATCCAAAATAAGACTGACAGGCCCTTTCTATGTTAAAAGCCATCCAGTATCTCACACTGCTGAGGAAGGAGATCTAGGAATCATACTTGTTTAAAATCTGGACATCTCCCCTGACACCTCCAACCATGGGATCTTCTAAAACTTTTACTATCTCCACTGATGAGGCAGGGTCAAGCATGGTGTCTGAATCACAAACGTGTACATAATCCACACTTGGTCCCAGTGCTCTGAAAGCCGTGTACATGACTTCTCTTTTTCCACCCCATTTTTGCATGATGCAAATACTCTTGTTGGACAAGACCAGCTGGGTGACATGTTGTGAGCTTTCTTTATGTGACTCATCTGTCTCACCAGGACCCTTCATGTGGAAGTTGTTCTTCCAGATCTAAGTGGCTGATTTGTCCCTGCCCATGACTGCACTGAAGATGTCCATCATGTAAAGATCATCTTTTGAATTTCCTTCTATGACCATGACAACTTTAATTCCAGGGTAGGTTGGCCTTCAGATTGCAAACATTTCCATAACTAGTCTGGATCTTCTTGATATACAGCGATGCAAAGAGTTTTCTCATAGTTTCTGAACTATGAAGAGGCTTTTTTTCCAGGTCTCTCTGACCTTTAAACTATTCTTCATACTTTGCCAGAGTGACCTTTCTAAAATGCAAAACTGATTTGTTTACTTAATTACCCCAAATCTTCAATGGCTTCTACTTCCTAGAATTAAAATTCTTTGACTTACCCTCTTGACATTCATGACCTGCTTTCTGCCTACCTATCTAGTTTCATCCACCACTCCATGCACTTTGTGATCTTGAAACCATTGCACACACAGCTCCAACCTGCCATGAGCTGGTCCAGCACCTCTGACTTTGCATATGCTGTTTCCTATGTCTGACATTTTCTCCCTTGTTAAATACCTAGCAATCTCAAAATTGCTATTTAAGACTCAGGAAGCAACACCCCCTTTGTAGGGACTGACTTGCTCTACAAGCTCCATGTACCTTGAAAGCAGGTCTTCTTCCAGTTTTATCACATTGTAATGTAATTTATATGTCTGCCCCTGCTTCTAGCCTATGAACTCGAGGCCAGAGATTGTTTCCTCAGCACTTGATATGGTGTCTGACCCACAACAGGTGCTCAATAAACATCTGTGAAAGGAAGGAAGACTTAGGAAGAGAGAGAAAAGAAAAAAGAAGAAATGAAGAAAAGAAATGGTATGTAGTACATTTATTTCTCTGCCTAAGAAACCACTGTACAGCTGCTCAGGTTAAAGACAAACTTATTAAGGTCATCAAAGAGGTGGGAGGAGGCCAGAATGACTC